TTTCACTGTCGAGTTGTATTTAAAAAATATATTATCTTCAATTAATAAATATAGTTTCGCAAAGAAACAAAGTTGAAATGAGATTAGGAAATACTAAATGTAGCTAAATACAGTCAAATCTTCTTTAGATATATTGATCTAAACATTATGTATTGAACAGTATTATGACCTTGTCTGTATGAAAGCACTGTAAGGTCGAACATTTCATATATTTTTTATCATCAGAAGGGAAAAGATCTCAACAAAGCAGCATCAAAGTAATTATTCACCAACAAGGTGCCTTCATTTTATAATATTTTTGAAGTGAGGGAAATCTGATGATTTCTGACCAAGTTCTTTCATTAATTCATCTATTTGACTTAAACAAATGTAACATAAATAAATAAACAAGCAACAGATTAGAAATCATCTGTTCAAGAGTATGATAGTCACTATAGTGGCCAAAGAAACAATGCAGATAGGACACTTTTCTGAAAAAACTTATCTTTTCATTTCTCTTGCTAGAGATGTCTTGATTAGGTATTAGAATAATTCTGCATCTAATAACAGTCTCAAGGCATTTTCGTTGTCTTGAATGTGACTACATGATTTATCCTTGACTGATAGATGACTAGGTGTCTTGATCGTAGCTAGTGCATTGTGCCTTTTTGATTTATTAGTAATGTCTATCAAATGCGCCTAAGCTATTTTTCTTTCAAAAAAAACATCAACTTAGAGGTGTTTTTTTGAAAACATTAAGGTGTCTAACAGTAAAAAGATGAGAAAATGCATCTGACGTGCCTTCCAAACGCACTGTGGACGCGTGTTGAAGTCAGCCGAGTAGTTTATCAAGACATATTTCTTTTGACAGTGTAATAATTTATATCGAAAACAAGATTTTCGAAATGAAAGATAGTAATTTATTGATTTACATTAGATATTCTGTAAAGAAGTCGACATTTTCATTTCAAAATGACTTTTTGTTATCTCTAAATTATTTTTGAAAGGAAACTAGTATCAATAAATAGTGTACTATTATTTTAAGAATTGAATTTTTCCAAACACTAACAATTTAGACTGATTTTGTAGTAACTAAATCTTTATCAATAAAAAATTATATTACTGTACAAATGAATCAAAATGATTTTTACTACAAAATCTCTTTGTAGGAAAAAGGAAAAAAATTATTCAGGTCATCTCACACGAATAACTTCGCATTATATTTATTCAATTAATCCAAAATTTCGTTTAACTTTAAAATTATATTTAGCATATTATTTTCGTCGTTGTAGAATTAAACGTCGTCGAGCATTTACATATTTTAATTTAAGACGTAAAAAAACAAATGATTCTCTTGATGGTTTAAGTATACAAAATGATCCATATATGAATAGATGTACAATGTTATCACCTAATTATTGTTATGCAAGTAGTTTAAGAAATCCAAATAATTATTTGAAACAATTACAAGAAATGTCACAAAATCATAGTTCAGAAAAATCTTATGTTTGGCACGATATTGAACAAAAACTAAAACATACACATAAAACACGCTATCTACATTAATAAACATTATTGAATTGATAGAATTTTTATGTATTAAATGTAAATAATTTGTTTTGTTGAAGTAATAAACTGTATCACATACTAACCTTATTCTTTTAGCTATTAATGTTTCTTTCAAATGATAAAAGTTGAAGGAATTTTCGATTAATTAGATTTTATAAGCTTTTATAAAATGTCTGTAATAGAGTGAGAAGACATAATTTTAATGTAAAATATTATAGGCGCCCAAAAAATCAAATCTCTAAAACAAAATGTCATGTTAGATGATATTTTTTTGGTGAAACATGTTAGAAATCGACAATGTATATGGTGATAATCATTATGTAAATGATATTAAGCCCCAAGCACCGCCGAAGGTACATTATATGTTCAGAACACAAGCGTTTTCTAAGTCACTTTCAGAACAAAGAAGAGTAATTCACTTAGATTTATGTAAATTAAACTCTTTATAATTAATTTTTTTACTGAGCCACCTTTTTCTATCGCTAGCAATTTGTCGCCTTTTTTCGACTACAGCATCCTTTTAGATTTGGTGTATTCATCCTCGCTGGTAAGAATTTTTCACATCTTATACTGTCGGGATCTATTGACAAATTTGTTTTTCTTCCATTTATTATAGTGTACCATTTCTCGCGGTAGTAAATGATTGTTTAAAGTTGAAAGTTGACTGCAACAATTTCAATATAATCGACATTCTTTCTAATTCGCTTTTTTCCAGGCAGCTGCATCATGGGATGCCACATATGCGAACATTGGAAATCGATTTATATCGGATACCATCGAGAAAGTATTAGTTCAAATTAGAGATTTAGTTGATAATGATCAGGTAGGTATAGGGAAACTTTTTGATCCGAATATACACGCTGTTTGAAGTATAAGTTGTAATTTAGACTGCTCATTGGCGCACTGTGATAGTCCCGATTGTTGAACGAGTCCTTGCCTTTTCGGTAAGATGGATGGGTCATGTTTTCAGAAGAAATTGCCCTTTGTTAATATCGAATATAAATTTAGCCAAGCATTGATCAAGATTTACTGGTTGCTAAAGTATCGAACAGAATTCATTTAGATTATGCAGAAATGGTAAAAAAGTTCAAATCACCATATATCTGTACTGATGAGCAAAATGTTATTTTTAGATAAAAAATGCGGATGAAGTTTATGTTAAGGGCAAGAGAGTGAAAATATTGAAACATACTATTCCTATTGGTTTAAATAATCATTTATTTTAGGGATTAATGAAGTGTTTTCACAGTACAAAGCCGCTCTAACAACAAAAGTTGCAAGTGATGATGTAAGCAATTGCATTTATCTTCAAAAATAAAAGATAAATTTTATATATTTGTTGAATTTGGATGTACGATGGATGTGTTAACTTAATTACTGTGGGCATTTGCTAGTCTAGAACAAAGACTGTTATGAAGAGTCGGACAGATGCGTCTGTTGTTTCTTAAAAGCTAGCTGAACATGGTTACAGGCATTTTATTATTAATTTAGATGCTACAAGCTGACATGATTTCGGATGTGATGAATATTGTCAAAGACCGATTAATAAAAATGAGTGGCGCTAATACAGCAAGTTATATCTAGATATTCATCAAACTCCATAAGAGGCAAACTACTTTATTTCAAATAGGATATTGAACAACGTTTACATGATATCCATGCTCAATTTTCAAATCAAATACAAGAAATATTACATGAGCCAGGATTTGTATGTTTCTGCACAACAAACATCATTCTGACACATTTTATTATCATATTTTTCTAGATGAATATGCATCCAGAATATAAGATGGCTCTTATTCAAGGTGCACTACACAGAATTATTAATGAGAGATTTAGAGAAATACCGGTAAATGTCATGGTACTTTTTCAATTTGAAAATTTTATTTTTTTATCTATTATAGGCAGACGTCTTAATAAATAAAGCTGTTAATGATGCTAGATTAACCACGTTGCCCGTAATACACGAACATAGGCAAAATTCAGATTTTGAAAAAGTGCACACTTTCCGTGTGATTTGATTGCGCGAATCATACAAATTCTTTTTTTCAAGGTGTTGGGCACAGGTGAATGGCCTAGCACTTGGAATGTGCCAAATTCTCAAACACTACTGACTAGATCTCAAGCGACATCGGACTTAGAGCAAGATTGGAAACAAGGACAGTTGAGTGAGAAAAGTTTCAATGACGGACAAACGGCTGTAGTCGGTTTCGGGATAGAAAAAGCAGCCTTCATGGATCAGGAAAAAGCTACTGGAATGTCTAACGTGAATGAATTGACTAAAGGTAGAACGAAACCAATGAACGTAGAAAATATACTCAGACGATTATTAAAAAGACTTGGTATCAGAAAAGAAGAAGAAAAAGCACCAATATCGGAAGACGAAGTTGATCTAAAGACTCTGGTACAATCTTTTTTCATAATCCATTATCATTCTTTGAATAAAAGCTTTTCTTCGGTGTTTCCAGGCACACACAAGAAAACTCGTTCATTGCCTCGATTATCCATTAACAGGTAACTTACACTGTCAACTTTTGTCTGTTGATGATCATACGTCGATTTAACACATTTTTCTTGTTTATATTAGCTGAGAGAGCAAGGATAAAACCAAATCTAGCTTCTAATTATATATGTCAAAAATATAATCCTTATCATGGTTACAAAGAATATGTCAAACAAATTGAAGCTTCTTGATTATACATTACGGTAGTATTTTACAAGTTTGTTGATGACAATCAAGTAAAATCATTAAGTGCTTTTGTATGATTTGTAGTGTTACTTAGACAAATCTTGTAAGGGCAACGACCTCTGATTCAAAAACATGATTAATAATGTAGCTGTTTTGAATTTCATCATATCTTTTATTTTCTCTTGGTTATTTTGACCTTAACGGGTCATTTTCAACATAAAGCTACTGTACAGAAAAAATAAAAAATACTTTCTTTTTCGATACAGTGACTCATATACGTTTAGATAGGAGAGAATATATTAATATTTACCATTGAAAAACTAGAATTATACCTTTCTTTTTTATATGCCCATATAAAAAAACACAAAACATCATTATCTGCAACTTGCGACTATTGCTGGTGGTATAAGTCGCCTGTCTCTTTTAATTTTGGTCTTATTCTCCAATCCGTCAGGAAAGACATACAAAGGGATAGAACGATCAGTGCCATTTAAAACTGGGTGTTCAGCTCGAATTCGCAGTGAGTCCTTGATTAATAACCGATATTTATGTTGTTCTGTTTGTTTAAAGAACTCGTATTTTTTTACTTTGAGGGTAGTTTTCTGTTCGTCACTTCTCGTTTCTCTAACTCGTTTAAGTTTCTCAGTACCTATAAGAAACAGTTTCTGTTACTTACTGTACGTGAGTCACTACAGAATCCCAGACTGCACCATCGTCCTAGTCAGTGACAAACTAGTCTTTAACATTTTAACATGGACTAAACTTATGTATTCAATAGCCATTTAAGAAACACTATCTAATTAACAATGACAAAATGTGTCATCCAGAGTAAGAAATAAAAATAGAAAACAAAACAAACTAATTAATAAACATTTTAAGAAAATGAACTTTTTTATTCAAAGAGAAATAAAATAGAGATTATCGTACATCTTGTCATTGTTGAGCACAACTTTGTCGTTTATTTGGTCGCTCTTTATCATGTGATAGAGATGGATCTGAACTGCGTCTAACTGTACGTGGACTGAATGTAATATCAATTTTAGCCGTTTTCAATAATTCTCGAAATACGCTCAATACCGAATTTCTGTTATAGGCACATGCTTCAATAAATGTGTTTCCCCAATCAACAGTTACAATTGATTCAGCATATTCACGACAGATGACACGAGAATCTTCTTTGTCGCTTTTATTACCTACGATAATTAATGGAAAATTTGAATTTCCTTTAACTTCAATAATCAAATCACGCATTTGTCTCACAATATCAAAGGACATTTGATCTTCAATTGAATAAACGATAACATAGGCATCACCGCCGGCAATGGCAATACGTCTCATCACCGGGAATTCATCAATACCTGCTGTATCTAATATTTCTAATGTTAAATGTCGATTGGTTAATTCAAATTCAATGATATGTAATTCATCTAATGTTTCTTTATGCTCTTTGATAAACTGTTGACAAAGAAATTGTTGACAAAGACATGTTTTACCTTTAAAAAGAAAAAAAACAGAATAATGAATAAGTAATCCACAAAATAAAAAGATTGTATATATGATCCTACCCACTTTCGTCGCTCCTAATACGACGATTCTTAATTTTTCTTCATTTGATTCAGGATCAATTGTTTGAGAACGTTTGGCATGAGAAATATTTCGGCGTACTTGTACGGCAGATACAGTTTGATGCGAACTCATTCACATTCAAATTTTTGACTAAAAGAAAACCGTGGCAATTATTGGAAACTTTGAATTTTGTGAGAAAAAAAACCAATTTCTTTTCAAACAAAAAACTCTTTCATAGCTTCGTAATGGATGTGTTAACGTTTATTTTTCTATATGTTATCAATGTGCACTACGACCCATTCCATGATTATATAATGTAGTTTAGATTTTTAAAAAGCTAAAGAGATTTATAATTATAGAAAGTAATAAGCAATGGTTAATCATTGCTTATTTATTACTGTTAGAATACTCTTTTTGGATTTTTGTATTTAAACCGGTATGCGTACGAGATAGACAGAGAAAAAGAAAAAAAAGAATCACTAATGAGAATAATAATTGTATTAGATCTGTGTAACAGATGGAAAAAGAAAGATAGAACTTTATTTATTGGCATGCATATACAGTTACTCGTGTCGATTTTTCCAAAAAACAAAAAAAAAAAGAACGAACACAAGTGAACTATTCTGACTCATAATTATTGATTTAGATTAACACTGTTCGAACTGTTAACTATAGTAAGAGGAAAGAGGCACAAAAATCTGGAAGCAGAATTAAAACTAGTGATCAGAGAAATGTCGATTAGATGAAAAAAAAAAAATGTAAAATGAAGAAAAAAAATCTAATTTATTAGAATTTTAGGAAAAATAAACAGTCGAGATATGTACGTGTCAGAAAATGTGTAAAAAAAACAACAACTGTTGAAGATCATAATAATAAATACAACAAAAATTAGGTCAAATTTGGTTATGTTAATCTGTCTGAAAAGACAAATGATCTGTTAGGAAAACGTTTCGTATGTTTTGAGAACATGATGACAAAAGAAATAAGATTTCAGAATATATTTCTCGTTAATGCATAATATTCTTACGTGAATAATTAAATCTTTTTATCTGAAATCGATTATATTAAATAAAAGTTAGTTTGGATATAATACAATAAAAAAAATTTAGATGATGTGATATATTTTGTTCATTCGTGCGTTGATAATATTTCATGCAGGCAATGGAACGAACTATACAAAGAGAAAGGAATAATTGCAAATAAACGAAGTAAAGAAGATGAAAAACCGGATATGAGATATAGTTACAATATTTTTTTTCTGTTTTCACTTAGGAAGCTATCATTACTGCTACTACTACTCATTTGTATTTTTAATATCATTCACCATTTACACTTATAAGTTAAAATTATGCGTACATATTCTCAGGTGACTTTAATCGAGAAAATTTTAAACATTTGGTAAATAAATAATTCAAAAAAGAATAAAAAGCTTTCTATTAATTCACTTATTATAAAATAAATTCTAGATAGAAATTAGAAAATCCATTTTCTTTCTCGTTGTTCCTCAAAAATATTGACTTTTAAATAAATGAGGATGTTTTGACTTTCCTCTTATGAGACAATGCTAGCGGCGATAGAAACCAATAAATTTTATAAAATATACGTCAATAGAAAAAGAAATTTTTGACTTAAAAAAGAAAATTTTTCTTTTTTTCTAGAAGTATTTCTTAACAGAAAATTTATATCTATTAATCAGGCATCAATGCAACCGACCATTAAATTATGGACTTTTCTGAATTTCTGACTTAGCTCGATTAAAAATACGGATTTAAGCACATGCGAGAATTTTTACACTACTCTACGTATAGATCTTAATATGGAAAAATGACAGTGTCAAGAATTCATCACAGAAATGTCACATTTAATCTTAACATAGAATTTATAAGGTCTTGTCTCAATAGCTCGTTGATTATAGAACGGATAGTGTTTTTTGGAAATTTGAAACGAAACTAACTTATGTCCGCTAGTATACTGTATCTTGTCTCACCAAGGGTTTCTTAAATCCTTTACATGATTGAGATAATATTTAAACTTTACTGTGTACGAAAATAAATATCATTTCCCAAGAGAATATTTTTCTGTTAAAAACTTGCACATAAAATTAACTCGATTAACACAAGTATCCTGTTTGGTACACTTATTTTTTTTTTTCTTCTTGGGTGTTCAATACTGTCAAATGAAAGACGAAGATATACATTTCAAAGATAATTTATTTGTGTATGTTCAGTGTCTCTTTTTCTCTTAAAATGTAGTAGAAATTTATTTTTTTGTTCTTACCCTGATTAATAATGTTTCTTCTCTTTCTCAACTTTTTCACTCTATTTATAATTACAGTTCTGTTTTTAATAAGTATAGAGAAAAGAAGAAGAATTAGGACAACGTATCAACTAGGACAAGTAATCGATGATAATATTCTATTTATTCTATGGGAATAGTTTACTTCTATTCCTTGTCATTTTCGAAAAAGACAAAAAATGTTAAACCATTTTATCTCTTTGTAGACGAGTGTGTATTATTTCTTTATGAGATGATCTTTAATACGACGACTTTTCACTGTTTTTAGCTCTACATTTTGAGAACCTCCGAAAAAGGAAAATCAAAGATCCAATTATGGCTGATGAGTTTTGCAAGCCGTAAAAACAGGATAATAAAACAACAAAAAAAATTCTTTTTTTTTTCAGTATAAAAAAAGGAAAAAACAATATGTCTCAGATGGAGGAAAGGAAATTGAGGAAAACTGAGGCATGTAGCAGACATATGAAATATCAAGCTGATTTGAGAACACCCAAAGAAATATTTACTAATATATGAACGTTCAGGGCAGTTGGTTAATTAGGCCGTAGTGAGTGTATTGGCAAACCAGGTATTTCCATAATTTTGACGTATGACTGAATTTTGATCAATTCTGTGATTTACCAATTAATTTGAGAGCTTCAATTAATAATGACCTTGTCTACTACCAATTCGTAACACGTCGTTTGTGCTTATTTTAATTTTTTTCACTTATTCACGTCTATATGATTACAAGTGCTGAAAAGCAGATCTTTATATGCATGTTCTTACAGGAAATACAATAATAAATACAAATGTCGAAAATATTTACGCCAAGATTTGGGATTGTCACTAAACCGAGATAGTAAAAACTAATGAATTTTATTGAAATTAAATGTATACATAAAAAAATCAAATAGCGATATATCATATGATAAGAAAAGATTTCAATTAAATCGAATAGATTTTGACCGCATTCACTGCAATTAAATGTTTAGGCAAAAAAATGTAGCGTATATAAAATGTCACTGGTTTAGCTTATGTGTCATCTCCATCACGATCTTCATCAGCATTGTCAGTATTTTGGGATGTGTCCAATGTTCTTTCTTCTGCTGTTGATGAAAGAATCCTTCGTGCGTTAATATCACCTCCTTGTTGTTCACCGCGAGATTGGCTCGAACTAGAAGATGATTTGAAGTAAGCTGATCGTTGTGATGATACATTCGCTTGTGAACGAGCCCCAAACTGATCTTCAGCATTGGAAATTTCAGTGATTGTTGGACCTGTATGAGATGATTTTGAGTGAACTTCTCGCCATTGCACACTTGAATTTACCGGTTCCTTTGAAGTTGAAAAAACAGTTTGACAGCTTAAAAATCAGAGTATTATAGATTGACAAATAATAAGAAAATTTACCTGTATTGTTGAATAAAGGTTCGATGCGCGACTGCTAGAACTTTCAATATGACTTGCTCTTGTTTTTGGATAATCGATTTTAATATATGATGGAGTATTCGAACGTCTAACAATGTCGGATTCATGGGATGTCAATCTTTTAGTAGTATTATATGTATGGACGGAGGCAGGTCGATCCGCTTGCTCTGCTATTATTCCATTTGTCGATACGATGACGGATCCATTACCTCGGGTTAAATCCAAATCAACATAACGCTTGTTAAAATCGTAAGTATCATTGATAGTTGTTACATTTGTTGCTATTTTTGGTGAACTACTAACAGTCACTGTAATTTTAACATTACAGGCGCAATCGCCTTTGCCAACAACGAAACTTGTTGTTGCCGGTTCTGCGTAACCGCGATGTAAAGCTGTATGAGTAGAATGGAAATTATGTGTATCACCACCATAAGTCGTCGTTTCACCACCATAACCTGATCGAGTAACGACACTCTGTCCGTAGGATTTCCTTTCAAGAACTGAAAATGACTGAATAAAAGTGATACTATGCAGTTGCTAAACAAGTAGACAATTACCTCTGGAGCTGCTCATTATTAAATCGAAGAAAACTTGTCACCGCAAATAATAAACAAGAAAGAATGACTTAAATGCACCTTTTCATTTGACGTTTAGACGAGTAGATTGAAAATGGAGAATAAAAGCATCCTGTTGTCTGTTATCTTTACTTTTCAAGTGCATAAACACACGGTCTCTTGTGTCAATAGTGGTTATTATTCGTAGTAGTTTTTGATTATAGTATAGAGCCGCCTATCTCTTGAAAATCAAAGTAGATTGATTAGTCACGCTGATTTCGGTCGTCGTTACATTTTTCCCTTCTATTTATCAATGAATATCACGTGAATAAATGTTGTCATTCAGAAGAAAAGACAAATACCATAAAAAAATTTTATTTTTCTTCACCGAGACAAATTCTTTATATATAAGAGGTGTGATCTGTTTCTGTTTTTACAAAACTAGATCGAACCAAACCAATTTTTGAAAAGTCTGAACCGAACCGATCCCACCTCGATTATATACACGATACATTGTGATTGGCATCAACCACGCTTGTGTTCTGCAAACAAATCTTGTTAGAGCGTCTACTAGTGCGAGATTGCGAAATTCCTCGTTGGCAAGTTGAGCACTCTAATAAATTCTGACATTTCGTTCTCGACTTCCTGTTTTCTGCCCAAAATACATGAGACACTATAAAAATTCTTACTTTAACGCGCACTGAAGCAAATACTTTATAGTTTGATAAGTTAACAAAATTTAATAACAAAATCTCCATCATATTGAAAACAGAGATATCCCTTTAAATTCCTCTCCAGATCAGAAGGTCAATTTAGAGCAAAATGTTTTGCAAAATTGCCCTACTGCACGATTTTGTCGAAAAACATGTTCGATATGCGAAACCATAAATAAGCCCATGCTCTTCTATTTCGGAGGAAGTTTACCATCCACAGTGTCATAATGCCGGTTTGCCTAAAGGGCTGTATAGGATAAAAATTCGTTAAATCCTATGGTTTCTAAATATGTATACTAATTTTTCCTTAGATAAAAAAGCCGACTGAAGCACCGTTTTTTTCAGGCATTATGAGAAGATACTATTTATCTCAAACCCCTAAGAAAGGATGGAAGCCCTTGTGAATTTTGAGTTGATGAAAATCAGTCTTTTGTGAATTAGTCTCTGCCAGAATTAATCATGTACTGTATTCCTATGAAAACATTTTATTTCACACATCACTTTGATAGTAATTATAAAGCATCTGGTTAATAATATCAGCTCTTAGCACTGTGTCATTGGGAAGAGAAAAAGTCTTTTACTGGACTCTATTGACACCATAAGTCGATAATGTCAAACTCGCCTATATTCCCACGTCATTATTGTAAATTTGTTTTCCTTGATTACAATTTCATCTGTGATAGTGATCGATACCCAATGGATTTCCTTTTTTATATAAAAAATGACTGAGTATTGATTTCTATTTTCTATTGATACTATCAATTACATGTTGACAAAGACAAATAATGTGTGCACTTCATAAAGCAATAGAGTACACACTGTTGTATAATTTTGTATTTCTCTTTATTACCCTGTATTTTTAACGACATTTGCTTTATATCTCTGTAAAAAAGTTTAAGATATTAAATTATATTGGTAAATAACATACTTTTCCCCAGTTTATTACCCATGTAAATATTTTTCAATTGTAGACACGTCTGAAAATCCGTTTTATATTGCGTTTGATCACTCCAAAAATGCACCATAAATGGGTTTTTTGTTTTTAAAAAAAAATACTTTTATAAAAGTTTTTTATGAGAGGTTTTAATTCCTAGCTAGGGTTTCATTGTCTTTTAGACAACAGTATGCGTCAGTATGAGGAAAGCTTGACTTACTAGAAAGAAGTGTATGTTATATGACAGTTCTGTCGACTAGATTTGATCGTGGTACCTATGAATAAAAAGACAAATTAAAAAGCATGCTATACTTACCCGCTCGGCAATTGAGCTTGGTGTTTGCGTTGTACTGTGTCAATGGGTACTTTTACATAAGTGAAGAATAATAAAATACATATTCGCCTAAAAATACTGTTCTGAAACTGACGAGCAGCGAAGCAGATTATTCAAAGAAGCATCATACATTTTTCCCCATGTATTGTTAGATACGAGGCTTTTTATGACAAGACAAACTGGTATCTGTTCAGAGTCGAAAAAAGTTGATAGTTAGGTAGCACACCTCATCAAAATACTTTTTTAACGTAACTCGTTTCCTTTCAAATTCCGGTAAAATAAGTCAATGCACTGAAAAATGTTTGAAAAGTTGACTTCCAGCAGATATTGCAATACTCATAAAAATCATTTGATTATGTGCAAGGTTTCTTTCTGTCTATAACAGCATTTAAGTAAACGAGAGGATTTATCAGGATGTCCAGAAAAGGATAGTTACTAAAGCTCAAAGCACCACGAGATATTAGGCTATGGTTGGTTGCATTATAATTCAGAGAACAATTTCGTGACGCTAGTATTTGGTCTATCTAGTTCGTGCGGCTTTTTAACGTGTAACGCTTGTTAATGGCTTTATTCTTTTTTAGGATGAGCCCATGTTGATGCAAAGCATCAAACCCCAATAAGAAAAATTATTTGGTGAGAGCTATCTGAACATGTCTGAAAGACCTCGACGGTAGATCTACATATGACTTTAATGACGATACCGAACGCTGACTTCCTAACATTTGAATAATATGTTGCGAAATACCCACTGTTACAGCTGTAGAGGCGGCACCGCTTCAGAAAGAATGTCCTGAGTATAACTTGGAATAAAATCAAGGTAGCGAAAGCAGGTGGCGAGTTTTGTCAATGAATACTACTCGTGTGAGCGGAAGACCTTGCGGCGTTAAAAAAAGTTCGGTTGGATAAGAAGCGACAGATTTACGCGTTGAAATATAACGTTTTAGAATAGAAATAGGGCAAATTGGATATTGAGTTTCGAAGAAAGAAATAATAACTCTGTGCCGAAAGGGAGCCGTTTCTGAACATATTAAATGTAGGTAGGCTCGCGTTTGACATGGACTGAAATAAATGTCAGTCAACACAAAATTAATTTCTGAATCAAAATAGTTTGTAATAGAACAAAACTCGGAGCAGCATAGAAATCCGAAAAAAGCTAAAATTATTGCAGTTTGCAATAGCAAATCCCAGTAGGGGGGAAAGACGCCTACGGGCAAGAGAGAAACTAAACACCTTAAAATATCAGATGTAACAAAATGCAATAAATTCATATAACAACTGATCGATCAGGATTGGCATGTTTGACTGCATAGGTTTCTTAAATATAGTTGCAAAGTTCAAAAAGTGGCTGAAGCCAGATTCATATGATTGTATAGTGTTCGGTGAATATGCATGGTTTAATAGCTGTTGGATAACTTCGAATACATAAAGAATATTCGGTGTGGCGATGGTATTGGAATTGGCAACGGTTTGGGATCTACTTTTAACATCCTAAATTTCCATATCTTTAAACGAGATAGATAATCAGCTGCTGCATCCTTTTTGCCAGCTATATGTTGTGCATAAGCTACAAAACTGAATTCGCAACCGTGCAGTGTCAATCCCCTGACAAGTGCCAATATTTCCTGAACTTTAGATCTCCCGCTCTGCATGACACGGACTACAGTCTCGTTATCAGATCTGAGAAGTATTTTCTTTCCTCGCCACTCATGTTCTCATACTGAAAGTTGCGATAACTAATGGTCCTAATTAATAATAAGCTATTCACGGCTGTATAAAATCTGGCCTCCGAAGTCAATCGATAGTGCTGCGTCTGTAAATAATTCCATATCATGAACGTGCACAAGTTTTGGATCAAAAAGCGTGGATATACCATTTCAACCGCTTAAGAAATATCTCCACATTGATAGGTCTAAACAACATTCTTTTGGTAGTGATACCTGTTTTTTCCTATTTCTTTATCATGCACAGTTAAACCTCTTCACTACACGGTACCATTATCAAAGGAATGTCGTTTAGACCTGTCAATGTGGAGATATTTCTTAAGCGATTGAAATGGCGTATCCACGCTTTCTGATCCAAAAGTTGTGCACGCTCATGATATGGAATTGTTTGTGTACTATAAAGGGTGGCCTAGAAGTCCTGATTCGATTTGAATGGTTAGTTTTTCTTTGGTAAAATACTTGATTAAAAATGTGTCTCTAGTGTGAAAAGATGCAGCAGAACACGCTCTACAAAATGGCTCTTGATTGAC